AATATCTGCCACCATTTCTTCAGAAAACAAAGCATCTACAGTAAAATGAAAATCTAAAATGTGTGAAGTACCAAACTTAAAAAATACAGAATCAGAAAGAGAGCGATTTATAATGGTACAATTGTATCAGGAATTTTATCTCAAATCCTTACTACACAGGTGACGCACCAGATTCTAGCAGTGCTTTCTAGCCCCACTGATCGTAAATCAAGTGAAACCACTGTCATGCTACTGACTAGGTATATACATTTATCAAAGAAAAGTATTAAAAAAAAGTGACATAATGAACCTTGCTGAACCAATAAGTAGCTTGATTCAGTGGGGCTGTCCATTATATGACATTCTGTCAGCAATTTATCACAGCTCTTAACATGTTACATACAACCATAAATCAAAACTAGAAACAATGCAATTATTTTATTCTGAACAAAGGTCTTGCCAGGAGTAGATTCAACTGTGATGTGACAAAAATAATGGCTCTTTGGATGCACTACAGTATATAATGATGGCTAACAGGAACTGAATAGTATATTTACACTAAGGAACAGACTCAAGTGAAGGATACCTTTAACCGGCTAAAACAATCAATCTTTAAAATTAACTACCACCTGATAAAGTCTGATGAGGATACAGTAAGAATGTTCAATTACACTTTCATCACACAGATCAAAAGGTTAGAATAATACACGAAGTTTCGGTTTTAAGAAGCTTCACTCACTACAGCCTTCAAACTACATGTCAGCATTCAACAAAAAAAAAACAGTCAAAGCCAGGGGACACGGGACACCTTTCTGACCATACTTGAAATGACAAGCTGTTTCACTCCCTTAACAATCAACTCAAATAAAACCTGAGGTCATAAATGAATGACTGATGAGCCATCCCATTTTCTGATTTGGGCAGATCAAATCCAATTTAAGACAATCAACAATCTTTGCTAAATGGTATCTCTCAGAAGGCTGGGGGTTCCTTCTTAGTCCTAACATTTAAAGCATTAACAGCACACGTAGCGGGTTAAGTTTAATGCTCTCCAGTAGAACAACTAACAGAAGAAAGGTTATTCATAAGGTCACCATGAGTCAAAGCAGATTCAATGACAACCAACAACAAAATCCCAAAGTTAACTTTCCTTTAAATTATAACACTTCTATGTAGTTATAGGCTCTTCATCAACTCTTATTCTCTAAATTCAACACTATATTCATCAAACATGCATTAAATCAAATCACCCCCAAGGACCACAATTCCTGTTAATATAAAAGTGCCTACCTTTTCAGGCTGAGAGAAGGTTCCAGCATTACAAGGAGTTCTAGGATCCCACAATTTAACTGTCTGATCCCAACTTCCAGTAACCATCACATTCACTTCTGGACAGTATTCAACACATCTGATAGGGGCATCATGGGTCCCAACAAGATTATCTATAGAAGGAAAAACAAAAGTCAACACCAAAGTTTTACTTCTCTATTAAACAAAGATGCTTCAAATAAACAATTAAAGGAAACATTCATTTGACTGTAATGAATCAGCTACAACCAATTCCAAAGAAATGTGTCTGCATCCAGAAAATCTTTCCACAACTGCAGAAAGTCCCCATTCTTCTCTCTTCACCCGACAGTACAGAGTTCGATCCACTGGCATGGCACCTTCAAAGGCTGCCTTGAATCTCTGACTACATTAAAATGGTGGCCTGTCTGTTATTTAATTCTGTACCTCTGATTTATCTAGAGCAAGATCTAATACATAGTAGATGCTCAAGAAATACATGCTGAATGAATGAGTGAGTGAAGAACTTTGTTCTTCTAGATCTTGACAAAGACTTACCTTGAGTATTAAAGCCAATGCTTATAAGAAACTGATTTACACAGTTACAGGATTATCTGAGAACCTGGGATGAGCAAAGTGCAGAGTCTTATTTCACTTGGTTTTCATGGTAGGTCAAACTTCCAATACAAAATTTCTCTTCTTTCAGTCTTAACTCTTCACACTATCTCATTCACACATTCAACTAACATTACTAAGGGTCTACAAGGCGCCCCGATCTGTGCTACACACTAGGGATACAACAATGAACAATATATGGTCTTGATCCTCAGGCAGGAAAAGCTACCTGTTTAAAAATACATCATTTACACCAGGAAGGAAAGTTCCGAAGTGTGGCAATGATCTCCTGAGAATAAGCAGCTAAACCCCTAAATTATGGTCTATAATATCTAAAATCTTTGTTCGCTTTCCAGTGTTTTCCCCCTCTCAAGTCTTCAAACAAATAAGACCTAAACATATAAGCTTATTACACAGGGCAAACTGCTAGCAAACAAAATCAAACATCTGCAGTTATAAATTACAATATAAAGTGACTTTATACACAAGCCTCTTTTGATTTTTTGACAAAACGTTGTACCCATGCCTCCATCTAGCCTCCCGCTGCCCAACTCATCCTTTATCTAAGTCATATCTCTGTATCCTACAACCTCCTTCAAGTACTTCTATGTCTAACATATGCACTACCAAAACAAAAAAGGCTCAGCTAGAGAGCTCTGTGCATTTGGGTTCCATTCCAATCTCTGCCCCAAAGTCACCATAAAAATGTAGGGAACTCATTTCATATCTGGACCTCTAGGAAATTTCTTAACTAAAAGAAAATATGTCATCTTGCTCTTTATCCAATAAATCCAAATGAAGTACATTTTACTGCCAAATAATTATACAAACAGAATTAATACAGTACCTAGACAAGAAACTTAAAAAAAAACAAAACAAAACTTGGCTTTTCTTCAGTCTAAGCTAAATTAGCTTCAGAAATGAGAACTCTGAAACATCAGCACAGTGCTGGAAAAGTCCAAACAGAACACAGACCACAGGATCCCAGTCCACTTCTAAGGACAAAGTAAAAGTCAGATACTTGAGTGCCACTTCATGGAAACACTTGGGATAGAGATCACTATGAACTTCATCACAATATATAAGTATTTACGTACACAAACATATACAATATTTTATGGTAAGTAATTTAATCGTTATCATTTAAATTAAAAAGCCCTAATAAATTCAAGTCCCGTCTATCTGTGGCTAAGCAATTTAGGACTGACTCTTCCCAAGTAAGTACTAATACCCTAAAAACTAGACGAAAAACGCAGTAATAAACTGACAACACTGTGCTCACATTACCTTGATCAGTATTCAAATCATGCATTTTCAGTTGATGATCTAACCCCCCACTCCAGGCGTGAGTTGGATCCTAAAAGATGAAGTTTCAGATCATTTAAAACTTCTAGTTTAAAAAAAAAAAAAAAAGTTTCAAAATTCCTATTTCTACAGCCAGCTATCTGGTTTATGCTCAGAATGATGTGTAGTGGGCTCAGCTATCCATTGTAAACGCACAACAGAGCACAAAGAGCAAGAGATGACAAAAACTACCTATCAGCTAATCAAGGGATGGCTGGTTTTCCAAGCTCACCACACTGGCTGAGATTAAAAGGGCATTCTTTCTAAACCTTCTTCTTCTTCTTAACAGGGCTGCCAGATTTTACCGCTTCTGTGTCAAATGTCAGATACAAGTGTCAAACGTCCGGAAAGTTTGCAGGACCACCCTACTAGACTCAACTTGAAAGTGGAGACTGAGTTTCCAGCGTTTGCCTTTCCCCAACGCCAAACGGTACCTGGCTCAAGACAGGTGTTCCAAAAACGCTAAAGAGCTGCCCAGTTAACTTCACCGACAGAAGCCTTTACCCAGTACTGGCGGAGGGACGCTATTAACACGAGATACCGTAAATACAGCAAACGGGCAGGAGCCGAAGCCGGACACGTACGTAGAAGGCGCAGTCCAGGACGGCGCCGGTGTGCTGGTACTTGAGCCGCATGGAGTTGGCCGGCACATCATAGAGGCGAACGGACGTGTCCCAGGAGGACACCAGCAGGAACTGGGAGGTGTTGGGGCTGAACTTCACCGAGGAGATGCCATCCTCCGGCGGCTGGTTCAGCTTGAACTCGTTAGAGCCGGTCATCTATGAAATAGGCGCCCACTCAAGTCCCCACGGGTCCCGGGGTCGGGGGGCTGGGCCGGCTGGTGGCGGGAATAGGGGTGGGTCTACCGGGGAGGGACCGAGAGGCCGAAGGCGACGGGGTCTCTGCGCCTGCGCAAAGCTTGCGCACCCGCCACAGTCGGACTCACCCCCCGCCAGCCCTCCCCGGTGCCCAACCGGCCAGCTCTGCCCGCGCCGTCTCACCCCTCCTCCAGCCCCCCGCCCGCCGCCGCACCCCACCCCTCCCGCGAGGCCCATCGCCCCGACTCTGCCAAGAGAATACGGGGAAGGTGGTGGAAGCACAACGGGATTCGCTGCGGGCAGTTCCCCCGGCTCCGGGGCCCGGGAGCTCCCTGGAGGGGCCGCTCCTGCGCCCCGTCGCCTCGCCCCCTACCTTGAGCTCCTCTCAGAAGCAACGCCGCCGCAGCTCCCGTCGCCTTGCCACTCTCAGAACAGTCGCGGGCTGGGCGAAGGAGGCGGAGAGGAAGTTCTAGTGGGTGCCTGTCATTGGCTGATTTTAAACGCCAACGTCTCACTCTAGGCAACCGATTGGTCTTCTCAGCGGCCCGCGGTCAGTCAACCCAGTCATCCTGTTCCGGCTCAAAGGGAAACCGCGGCTTTTCCGATCACGTGGTCTTGCTTTACTTCCAGGCTGAGGAACACACGCGCCGGCTTGACGGATGGAAACTACAAATCCCAGCGATCATCGCGGTAGGCCTGCGCTCACGCCCTCTCCCGCCGGTGTGAGGCACGCTGGGAGATGTAGTCTCCCTGGACCGAACCCTTCCCTGTTCTCAGAATAGGAAGCTGGGAAGATGCTGTTTCTGGGTCTTCTTGTGGCGCTCCCCTAGTCTCAATCTGTCAGGCACAAGAATCCCATTTTGGTTACTACTCTTTACAGAGCTACATCCTCCCTTTCCCAGGACGTTCATACTCCCGTGAAGTTAACCTAAACTGGAGTGGAGAAGTAAATACTGGTCCACTCCACTAAGTTATTTTGTCCTAATTTTGTTCCCTGTTTTCTGGAGCTTGCACCTATGAACCAAGGTCTTACATTGCCCATTGTCTTCAGTTTGACTGATCTCACAGAAACGCATCCTTATTTATATTGTTTTATCTCTCCATTTCATCTTTCTGCAAACACTTCTTGAGTGTCCGCTGTGTGCCAGGCCTGGTGAGAGGCTCAAGGGAGAAACATTCAACAGACTAGTCCTTGCCCTCGAGCAGCTCTCGTCCAGAAGTGTGGACAGACTGAGAAGCCAACAATTACTCTGCAATGTGTTAAGGCTCAAATACCTTTTAGATATATGTTGAGGAAGGGTCCTAACATAACAGCTACAAGCTCGCCCCACCCTACTATTCTCCAGAGTAGGAGGCTCATTCCACTTTGTTTTCTGTTTCTTGAATCCTCTGGAAGTACAAGGATCAAGAAAGTTGCTTCTGTAATGAGAAGTTATTTGAACGTCGTGAAAGGAAAGCAATATTTAACACTTGAATGCAGTGACTCAGTGACACTTGAATGTAAAAGGCTCACTGAAAATTTTTCATTTCAATCTATGCTATAACCCCTTTTTCACCACCTTTTGTGAAGTAAAAAATCTTATTATTCGATTTTGTATGAAGTGGGAGGAAAGTATTGGGGTTAAAGTGCTCAGCTTTTAAGGTACACTAAGAACAAGTGTTGTTGATCTTTATGCATTCACACACACTGCATTAGGTGCACTTCTTTTTAGGCCTCCTGCCACAATAAACACAACAACATCCTTACGCCCATTGCATTGATGATATTACCGCTGAAAAAGACAGACTCTTGCCCTCTTTCTCCACTGGTCCTCATACTTGGTTCTCTAGCTCTTCTCTTTCAACAAGTTAATGGCTAAGTTCAGAATTTAAAGAAGAAAAAAAATACAATGCTTTGCCTCCATTTTAACTTTGGCTAAATAATTTTATCTCCTGACTTACTTGTTTCCCTCTCCCTGTTGTTTATTTAATTCTATTAGTGTTTCAAGATTCTGAGCATGAATTACCAGCTAATAAAATCTAAGTGTATTTCATTATCCAGTGTGTGTATGATTCAGGTCCCTCTGGGCATACAGTTGCAGCCAGACTCTATCTGAGTCTTAAGAAACGTCAATCTTTTAAATTCAGTTTAGAGCCTGAAAGAAGGCTCATGATTTTGCTTATTATTCAAATGAATTGATAGTCTTGAGATAGGAAATCTGGCAACAATGGAGTCTTGAACAACATTTTAAATCCATATGCAAAGTCTATTTCGTTGTTGTTGTGCTAATACTTAGTTGCCTATGAAAGAGAAATTCCTAGCACTAATTACATTGTTGGATCACTTTTGACTGCTAATTTCTGAATTGGTATAAACAGTCAAATACAGACTTCAGGACAAACTGGGAAAAAGTCATTCCCTAAAATCTTAAGGGCCTTGACTGACAGTGGCTAGAGGAAATCACTTCCTGTAAGAAAAGTGGCCGTAGGAGGATATAAGTAACTCAGTACTGTGAAAACCATCATCTCTTGTAAAAACTATATCGAAATGAAAACAAAAATAGTATGGGTGGAATATTCCTATACTAGCAGTTCTGTAGATGCAATTTGGTTATTTCTGCATGAATTTCTTAGTTTGATTTATAAAGGGATCATCTGGAACGAGAGAACTTCATTGAAATAAAATATATGTACACTATAAATCAGAAGAAAACGGATCCTTCCCATGTCGCTTTTTTCTTGCTCTGATTATTCAGTATTTAGCATAGTACTCAACACGTACTAGGGACCAGTAAATATTTATTGAACTGAATTAAGTTGAAGTGAAATAAACGCAACTGAACTAGCTTAGTCTTGGCACATGTGTTCTGACGTCGCCTTGGAATAGACTGTGATTTTTATGAAATCTAATGTGAGAAGAAAAAAAATATTCTCTCTAGATTAACAAAATCAGATTGAATCTTTTTAACCAGGCATTTAGACGAAACACTGTGGGTCTCATAGATGGTTTAGATATTCTATATATTTTTACAAAATGCAGATCCAGTATGTGTTCAGCTCAAAGGGACTCCCACACCCTTGCATCGAACGGGGCCCGGGGTCCGCGCAGGAGGACCAAGGAGGTCGCCCCTCGCGGTGTCGAACCATCGACTTGCTCTTGGCTCATGCTTCCTTTTCCCACGTTTCACAAAGGAACAGGTGGCCGCGATCTAAGAGGCGCGGGAGCCTGAGATTTGCATGACACTCGTGCGTCTGCTCCCCGGGTGCGGCGCGCTCCCAGGTCAGGCGCAGCGGCAGGTGTCCCGGCGCGGGATCTGTGGGCGTCCTCGCCGCGCTTCAGGGTTCCACTCAGCGGGAGGCGCAGCACATTTGCCAGTGATACGGCCATTTAGCGGCGCACATTGCAAACTATTAACAACAACAACAAAAGAGGCGCCTTTCTGTCCCGCTCCTATTTTGCCTAGTCTGGGGCCTCATATCCCTCCTCTGCCGAAGCGCGTACTTTCCACTCAAGTTCTCGCGGCGCGAGGAGCACGAACCTGTGCCACCGCCCAGGAACTGTGCGCGGTTCCAAAGAGCAGGTCGCGCCCGGCTCCGGGCGAGCAAAGCAACGCTTTACCCGGCTCGGGCAATGCCGCTCCGTCTGTCCTGCGCCCTCAAACAAGGGCACGAGTTGGCCACATCTCAACGCGCCCTGCTGCGGCCAAGCCCACGGCGATCCCAGCGCTGGGAAGATACTGCTCAGGCCCGGCCCGGCTAGTTTGGGGAGGCAGCGGTTTCCAGCAGCAAGGCCCGCCTCTCCGCATTTGTCTGCCTCCGTGCCGGCTCCCGACCGGGATTCCGGCCCTAGTGAGCCACAGCCTACACCAGGACGCTGGGCTCCTGGGAGTGGGGGTGGGGGTGCGGCTCCAGCCGCGTGCCAACTCACACGGCGCCAAGGTCCCGACCTTTAACCCTTGGCCCTGGCCCCACCCTCCACTTGGGGCGTTCCCAGCCTTTCCCAACGCTAAGGCCTGCAAACCCTTCCAACGGAAAAGCGAAAAAACCTTCGCGCGTTAGCACACCACACAATCAATCCCACCAAACTTAGCAACGATGTTTAAAACGTTTTATTTATTTCTTCTCTTTAAAAATATTTACAGATCTAAAATCTCCCCTTTCTTCCTTCCCCATCCTGGGGAAAAAGGAAACGAAAAAAGGAGATTAGATCGTTGTTCAAAGCCCCCAGGGTCCTGGCTTGGCCAAGCATGTGTGCGTGCACATATACACAGGTGTACATAAGGGGCATGGTGGAAAGGTGGGCCTGGTTTTGTAGGTTTTTTTTTCTTTTGCTGATTTTTGTCTACCAGCCAAAGACGATGTGGCCAAAATTCTCCCTCTCGCCACCACCCGAGAACATCCCCTCCAAAATGGTTTTCAAAGCGTATTGGTTGGTTTGTGTAGAAAGCAGGCGATCTGGCTTGAGAAATGCCGATAAATACCCGAAATAATCACAAGAAAAAGTAGTGCTGAGGCCATAAATAAGAGATCATGAATACACATGGTGTATATATTGCGAGAGACAAGCTGCCTGGCTCCGGAGCCCTGAGAAGGGGATAGGCTCTGGGGACCGCGGGAGGCGGCCGGGGCGGAGCGGGGCGCGGGGCGCGGGGCCGGCGGTCAGTCAGTAGTCGAGCTTGTTGTAGAGGTTGTATAGCGGTAAGGCCGAGAGGTTGCTGCCGGGGTAGTAGAGAGGCGCGGGGAAGGCTAGCGAGCGCGGCACCGGCACGCGCAGCAGAGAGCTGTCCCGGAACACCAGCGGCATGCCCACCAGAGTCTGCGCCGACGCGTGCGCCATGTTGGCCGCCTCCAGCTCTGCGGAGAGCTGCCGCTTCCACTTGTTGCGGCGGTTCTGAAACCAAGTCTTGACCTGCGTCTCGGTGAGCTGCAGGCTGGAAGCGAGGCAAGCGCGCTCCGAGCTGCTCAGGTAGCGCTTCATGTCGAAGGTGGACTCCAGCTGGTACACCTGGCTGCGCGAGAAGACCGTGCGCGTCTTCTTCTTGGTGGCGCCCGCCTGCCGCTCGGCGCCGCCGTCCCGCGGCCGCTCGGGCCCCGGCGACGGCGAACCCGCGGGCAAGAGCCTCTCTTTCTCTTCCTTAAAGTCCTGGTGCGCAGGAGAGAGGAAAGGCGTGCGCTCGGAGCCCGCTGGCCCCGCGGCGCCGCTGCCCTTGGGGGGACCTGGAGAGCGAGAAGAGATAGGAAGGCCATGGAGGTGCGGCAGCCTCGGAGACCCCCAGCTCTCGCCCGGCCAGGGCACTCAATGGCAGGCGCCTGCAGCCTTTGTCCCATCTTATCAACTCCTTTCTCTTCTCCCTCTTGCTGGCACCCAGAGCCCAGCACCCTGGCCTTTAAAAAGCAACAAGGGAGGGACCCAATGCTCCGGGTCTGGAATGTGGGGTCTGGGGTCTCTGTGCTCTCATCTTCGTGAAAGGACAGGTGGCAACAGGGGAAAGAGGTCTGAAGGGGGACATTAGCATCGTTTTTAAAGGTGATTTTTGCCTTGTAAGAACTGAGCTAGAAGAGTTCCCCGAGCTTTGTAGGCCGGCATCATTTCACAGTCTGTTCGGAAATCACGCTAAGGACTAACGGGGCTCCCCTTCGTCAGATGTTGTAAAGAAGAACCATTTCTGAAACGCACCATTGTCAATCATCTTGGAGTGCTAATCATTCCGAGGAGAGGGGAGAGAGAGAGGAGCAAAAATACGCAGAAAGAGATTGCGGTAGATAGAGACAGACCGCTTCAGACAAGAAAGAACACCGCTCAGACTGGACTTCCAGGCCTGGTGTTCGGAAAAGAAAGGAACTCTCCGACGTGCAAAGGGGCTGTTGACGGCAGAGCCGAGTGTGTGGACTCCCGGTGCTCAGCCCGCTATGGTCCCCTCTCCCTCCAGCCCGACCTTCGGTCCCTCCAAGACGCCCCGGCCACGCAGGGTCAGTGTCCCCCGCCCGCTCCTGAGCGGTCGCGGTAGGAACGGCCCAGGAGGCAGCAGGGCTACCGGTCCACTCCCCTGGGCCCCGGAGCCCCGGCTGGGCGCAACCTCCCTCCCCTAGCAGTCTCTCCCGCCCGCCCGGCGGCGTGCGCTCTTACCCAGGCAAGGAAAGGGGATGGGGGTGTGGTTCTTGGGGCCCGGCTCCTTGGGGCCTTGTGGGTCCGGGCAGTAGCAGGTGGGCGCCTTCCAGCCGTCGTCCGGCTCCTCCTCCTCCGAGGACACGGACAGGCTGCGCTTCCTGGCCGGCCAGCCGCTGGGCTCCCGCGGCGTCTCCGAGGGGCCCCCGCCCAGGATGGACTGAATGGTGAAGCTGGAGACGCCGCCGGCCGCCGGACACCCCTTGCCCGCATCTTCCTTGCTGCCCATCCTGGGTTCATAAGAAATCGGAGGAAACCAAGAACTCCCTTTAGAGACGATCTGGGTAGAAGGTGGTGCAGGCAAGCGCGGAGGGGGAGGGGCGGGGAGGGGAAGTCAGGGGAGGGGGCGGAGAGGCTGGCGCGGCGTCCCCTCCGCGCGAGGGACACGCGGGCGCGGGACGGCTGAGCGGGGTCCCTTCCCGCGCGGCTCCGGGTGCGCCCGCCCAGCCCCGGCGCGAAGGCCCGCCTGGCGGGCTCGCTCGCAGGGCTCGGGCGGCGGGGGCGGCGCGGCCTCATTTGCATAGAGGTTACCGGCTGCGGCCAATCGCAGCGCCGCCGAGCAGACCCGGAAATTTCAAAAAGGCCGGGCCCAGCACGCGGCGCCTTGCGCCGGCTCGACCAGCGGGCGTCCGCTGAGTCCAAGCCGGAGGCTGCAGGCAGCATGGTTCCTGCTCCTTGATCCCGGCCTCGGCGGGGACTCCGACCCCTCGGAACCCGGCCCTCTGTTGGGGTAGGGGCAGCCACGAGCTCGGAGCTGGAGCGGCCAGACGCCTCCCGCAGGCCACGGGCCTCCGCACCCTCGGAGGTGCTTGGCCAGGCGACTCCAACGCCTTCCCCAGGCCCCCCTCGTACCGGCCAGCGGCAAAGCTGCCACTCGAACCTCGGCGCTCCGCACAGGAGTGAAGAGCATGAGCCTCGGTCCTGACGCTCTTTACTGGAGCGCAGCCGCGGGCCCCGGAGCCCACGAACTTTTGCTGTTCGCCGCCCTACACCTCTGTCACGGGTCCTACGGGGCTCTGCGATCTTTGAGGCCGGGGGAAAGCCTTAGATATGGAGTCAGAAGATCCGGTTCGAGTCCCAACACCACCATTTACAGGCTGCGTGAACTTGGACATGTCTGGCTGCAATCAAACTTCACTGTCCTCATATGTTAAGTGAACTTGTCACTAGTATCTCCCCCTTCCCCTGCTTTGGGGATCACATTAGGGTGGAAAAGCGCTCAAAGGCCTAGAAGCATTAGGAGCACCTAGTAGGACCTCCCTAAATCTTTGCTGAATAGCCCACCGCCCGCCTGCCCTCCTGTAAGTGAATCTCGTTTTGGGGCAAATACTGACGGTTTCAGAATTGCTGCAAAACAAAAAGCTCTTTGCTCCCGAAAAAGAGAAGGGAAGGATGCGAGAAGGAAGGGAACAAGGTTTTAAAATTGGACAGAGTCGATTCGAATCCTGACTGGGTAACTTTGGACAAGTTGTTAAAACTTTCTGAGCCTCGGTTTACCGGTTCCTGAAATTGAGGGAAGCGGTGACGCCGTCGCAGAGGCTGTTCTGGTTAATTTGCCCAGCACAGAGCCTTATACGCGGTAGACGCTCAATACACATGGCCCCCTCCAAGCCCTGGGTCTCGCCCCTTTAGTTCCCAGATGAACTGTTACCGGGTCTAGAATCAGTTCGTCGCGAGCAAAACGGTTCGGGGCCACAGTCTTCCTGGGAAGGGCGAGGAAGCAAGGCCCCAAGGCTCCCAGGCACCCCCACCCTTGGGTCTGCGGCCTCAGGACCTCTGGGCGAAGAGATCCTGGAAGCCCTGCCCCCAGGTTGACCCCCAAATGCTGCCAGGGGTGGGGAGAAACGCCCGAACCAGTCCCCACGAATGTCGGACGCTGCTCCATGACAGTGCAGTTCCTTGCTCGCCCGCGCCGCGCCCGGGTTATGGAGTAAAGCGCTTATAATATCATTAGCCGCGGAGAGATCCCGACTGCGGCCCTCCCCGCGGTGAGCCTCTCCCTACTTAACTCCTCCAAGGGCTAGTTAATGGGCTAATTGATTAGGAGTCGGCGGCGCAGACGGGTGCGGGGCGGGGGCCTGGGGCTGGGAAGCCGGCGAGGGGCAGGTGCCGGCCTCGGTCACCGCATTAACCTCTTCAGGGCTCGGCGGCAGGGTCGAGACACATTACAAATGGTCAGCTTTAATCATGGTGTCAGCTCATTAACCCGGAAGGACCCGGCGCTGAAATACAATTTGCGCGTCCTCCTCCGCGCGGCCGCGGCACGGGCTTGGGGACCACATAGCGGCTGGGCCCGCGCGCTACCGCGCTGCTGGGGGGTGACGAGAGGTTCCAGAAAAGAAATGTCCCGCACTTTCCCCGGTCGGCGACATCTAGGCCGAGGCGGGCGCTGCCCCGGGGCCTGGCAGTACCCGTGGGAAATTGGCCAACCCAGCCGACAGAGCCTGCTGCCCGCGAGCAAAACGGTTCGGGGCCACAGTCTTCCTGGCAAGGGCGAGGAAGCAAGGCCCCAAGGCTCCCAGGCACCCCCACCCTTGGGTCTGCGGCCTCAGGACCTCTGAAAGAGGGGTGATGGTTAAACCTTTACTAAGCTGGTAAATACTCAGTGCCGGGAATGTACTGGGAGCATCCAATCTATTTTCGCTTTCCTCACACTACCTGTGAGGCAGATCACTTCCCCCAATGCACAGGCGGGGAAACTGAGGCTCGGAAAAACGAGTGACTAGCCCAGGCAGTAGAAGCAACATTGATGCTCAAGGTTGCTCGGCTGCTAATACCACGTCCTTGAGGGGGCGGGGGGGGGGGCGCTGAGGGCCCGGCGGGCATCGGCGTTGAGCTTGGGAATCGGCTGCGGAAACACCGAGAGGACACAGCTACCTCGGAAGGGCAGGGGCCTGTGTATGGATGGCATCAAGGGCCCACCGGGTTGACCTCTGCCAGGGTAGAGACCATCCGAGGGGTCGGCAGGTCTCTACGGTGGCCCTCGGAGCAGCCCCAGCTGGGGACTAGCGGTGAGGGCCTGGGACCCGCCCAAGGGGCCTAGCTTGAGGACCCTAAACCGGAAACGATGCATCCTGTAATCTCACTTCTGCCCCCCCTCCCCTTCCAGGCCTAGTTTGTGAAGTCAAAAGGAACCATTTGGCCTCGCCCTCCCCCTGCCGCGTCCCGCGCTGGCACTGACCCGCTGGTCCAGACAGAGGTGCTCTGCAGCGGAGTCCTGCGCAGCCTCCTCCGCCCCCACCTCTCTCTCTCTCACTCACACACTGAGCCGGGGAAGTGATGGGGATGAGCGCAGGGCGGAGACAGGGAGGCCGGCAGCAGAGTCCAGGCCGACTTCTGGCTCGCAGGCCGACGCACACTCCCCTGGTCTCCCCAGGCTGGGCACTCGCGGGTCTCCCGCCCCTCTGACACCGACAGCAGTCACAATGCAGGGGCAAGGAAGGCCGAGACCCGACCTTCCTCACCACCTCTCTCCGGCATCCGGGGATCCCCGAGACTTCACGAAGAGCTAAGGCCCAGACCCCTCTTCAGGGCCCAGCGCAGCTGTAAAATAAACTTCCAGGAACCTTCAGCTCCAGGACCACCCCCCCCCAAACACACACATACTTGATCTCCTTGTCTCCAAGTATGTTAACCCTTCAACTCAATATCTGCCCCCCAATCTCCATATAGCTCCGCTTGCACACACACCCCCCCCACTACCCTATTGGACTTAATAGCCCTTATCCAGGAGGATTGCCCACCCCTCATCACTCTCCTAGGAATTAGCATAACCGGGTCCCAAAGAGTGATAAACTTTCCGAGACCGAACGGACGCTTCAAGTTTCGGCCCTGAGATTATGCGGCCGCTCAACGTTAAAGCGGCCCACAGCGAACTTGCGGAGCAGCCTGATAAAAATGGATCCTCTCTGCTCTGCGGCAGTTGGGAAATAGGCTGGCTGAGCGGGGTAATAGTGGAAGAAGGCTCCCTCCGAAATGACAGATGAAGTCATAAACAAGTTTGATCTTGGAATCAAGCTTCGATAAATATTAAACACAGTCTCCCCCCCGCCCCGCGAGAGTGGATTATGATATATGGCGCGTCCAAACTTTAAAATAAGGAAATACCAGAGAAAATGATCTCAATAAATTTTCTAAGTATAAACGTTGATTATGTTTCGATTTTCATTCAAAGGCCTCTGCTGTTCGTTCTTTGGTGCAAATGACATCTCGCAACAGGCTTTTGGGGAAAAGGGCTCCCTATTTGAAAAAGAGAGCCCCAGAGGTGTACAATTTATGTAATCTGCGGCTGGAAAATGAATTGTGTAATTTATTGGAAAACAGAAAGTCATGAAGATTGGATCAGCATAGCCGAGTCCCGACACCGCCCCCCCCCCCAATCCATCAAGTTCCAATTAACAGCCTAACCAGAGAGCTTTAATGGGTTTCCAATCTAGCGGCCGGATAGACTCATCAATTCCTCTGGGAGAAATTAAGAAAATCGACCGCCCCTTGGCGACGCAGTGTCATTCCTTTCTGCAACTATATGTCAAATTAAAAACACAATTAAAATTTAAACTGTTTCAATCAAAGGGTGCCCTGCAACCTATGTTTCACTTAATAGAACTTTGATGAAAATCTGATGCGTGCACTCCATCACCAAGGGGGGCCAGGGCGGAGAAGGAGCTCACGAGAGAGAAGGGGATTCTTTACATTTCTTTAAGACAATAGCTCTCGGGTGAGGCACACCAGGTGACTCCATCTCGCCGCTTTGGCCAGCCAAGTGACGTGCGCCACGCGTTCTCCTCTGCGCTCTATCGCTCTCTCTCTCTGTCCCTCCCCAGCTGGTCTTCTTCTCCATCCACCGCAATCCGAAGGGAGCCCTTTGGAACCCCAGCTACCCAGACTTTGGTCTGTCTCAACCCGGTCCGACCCGGAGAAGCATCTGCCTGGAGCAGCAGCCACGGAAGGGACTTGGAGGAGTACACCCAGTGTGCGCCTCCCCGGAACTCTCCGACAAGGCACGCCGCAGCTTTCAGCTGTCCCTTGTCTTGTGGCTCCAAAACTGCCCCGAAGCTCGAATGCTACTCTTTGCGGTCCTGGAGGCTGAGGGGTGGGGAAGAATTCCAAACGACAAAAGGACCCCAGTGAGGGCCAGTGCAGTGGCTGCGCTGCTCCCCAGGGCTCAACTCCCTCGCAGCCGCAGCCTCTCAGCCGGTGCACCTCCAGGGCACTTCCGCAAAAGTGGCTCTCGAGGATGCAAGTGCACCCTAAATTTCAACCCGAGATCTCCGCCGAGGC